CAGATGGATCTTGCAAATAGTAATGTGCAGAAGACAAGCACACATGATAACATGTGTTGTCAGGTACTATAACTCTGCCAATGTACCAAAACCCACCAAATCTTACGTTTCAAAAGGGTGAACTTTATGGTGTGCAAATGGTATCTCAATAAGATGTTAAAATGCATATGGTTTCATATAGTACTTACACTCTGGTGGTAGGCATCGGGGTGATTAGTGATCAAAAGGGAGCATTAAAGGATGATTCTTGGGGTCCAATAATCTATTTTTTGGCCAGTGTGTGGGGTAGTTAATACAGTTTTGGTTTTTTGGGTTTTTTGCCTTGTAAAAATTCATGGAATTATACATTTTTTAAAGGTTTTATTTATTTTTAGAAAGAGGGGAAGGGAGGGAGAGAGAGAGGGAGAGAAGCACTGATGTGTGAGAGAAACATTGCTCAGCTATCTCTCACACATCCCCAAATAGGGACCTGGCCTGCAATCCAGGCATGTGCCCTGACTGGGAGTTGAACTGGTGATCTTTCAGTTTGCAGGCTGGTGCTCAACCCACTGATCCACATCAGCCAGGGCAATTATACATTTTTGTACATGTTAAATATAAACAATAAAGTGTGTTGGAAAAAGCGCAGAATTCCAAGGAGAATTTAACCAACCACAATTTTTATAGGAAGATTCATTATGGACCACTGAATCAATAATGAATCTCTCAGGAGATGGCAGGTCAAGAAACATGAAATGTACAAGTACATAGATAATTTGTAAGTGCAGTTTAAAAGCTTTATCTAATAGATAATCACACATCCTTATATACCAAGTAATTATTCAAATGTTTACCATATATAATTTATTTAAAACTGAACTGCCATGGGCTATATTGGTTAGTGATTGCAGTCAGTTGGGAGAAAAAAAGAAAAACAACCTTCCTCCCACCACCAACATACACCCCACAACAAACACACTGAAAACATGGGAGCCTAATCCATTAGGTGTTTATTTTTCTCAAGTAACAAGTCTTAAAGATATTGCTAGCCAGTCCTCCTCCTCAGTGTTGAGCTGTCTACCACAGAGATTCCAGGGGTGATGACTGAGCAGAGAATTGCTCACGGTCATCTATAGCCGAGGTCTCTCCCACATGTGTGTTATTCAGACACATTCTCACCCCCTTCACACCCAATTTTCTCTTCAGTCAACATTTGCTTGTATGTTCACTGGACACCGTTCTGAGTGGAGGTCACTGAGGGTTTCATCCGCCCTGAACTCTCTCTCTCACGGCACCAGAGGTGTAAGAGTTTACTGAGAGTGTGCCCACAGACATGGCATTGAGGGGGTGTTCTCCAGGACGCACTGTCTTGCACACAGTAAGGTTCCACCTCACACTAAAGGTTTTCCCACATCGATTACCCTCATAGGACTTCTCTCCAGTACAAGTTCTTATGTGCAGTGTGAGAGGGACATGCCTCCTGAAGGCTTTTCCACTCACCCCACTTAGAGGGTTTCTTTTCCCTGGTGTGATTTTTCCTGTCTCTTGTGAGGTAAGAAACCCTGGAGTCACATGGTCAGGCATTCCAGTCCCCGGAATAAGAGCTTTTTCCACAGACAATGGAAAGGCACTGAGAGACCCACTCACCCAGTAATTCCTTTCCAGTCTCATTGCAAGGGCCCAAGGATCCATCGTCCAGGATCCTGAAGCAAAATGAGGGGACAGAGTTGGTGGGGATTTAAGCCTTGCTTATGCCATGGATTCTCCAGGGGATAGTGCTCACTGAATCAGACTGGCTATGATCCTACCAAGCACAGAAGAAGGTAAGACCTGAGTCTCCATGAAGGATGTTAAGTAGTCCCTGATCTGAAGGATTCCCTGGCTGAGGTGGAAGGGTGAGACAGAAGTGAGAATGGCCCTGACCTGTGTGGGTCAGCTTATTGGGCATTGTCCTCCAAACCAAAAGGTTGTGGGTTCAATTTCCAGTCAGGGCACCTGCTTGGGTTATAGGTTTAGTCCTCCTTTGAAGTGCATATGAAAGGCAACTGATCAATGTTTCTCTTTCACATTGATGTTTCTCTCCCTCTCTTGCTCCTTCCCTTTGTGTCTCTCTAAAATCAAGAAGCATGTCCTTGAGTGAGGATAAAAAAAATTAAGGCTGTTTGATTGAAATAAATATGTGAAATGAGAAAACATTTTTTTTAAAAAGTAAGCATGGGGCTGTCTCCCTAAGAACATCCCTGAAGTGTGAGGGGTGGCTGATTTCTCAAAGCACTGGGAAGGATAGGAGCATGGCTAAGGCAAACCAAAAGAGTTTATTCAACATTTGTATTAATTACTCACTTTTTAATTACAGATAAATATACAAAACATAAAATTTACTGTTTTAAGCATTTTGAAGGGACAGTTCAGTGGTATTAAGCACCACCCCTTGTTGTGTGGCCATCACTGCCCTTTACCCTCAGAACCCCCGAATGCATTTCATCTTGCAAAACTGGAACACTATGTCCTCAATCCACTGCCCGCCAGTTCCGGCCACCGCCCTTCTGCCTCTTTGAATCTGACCACTCTAAGTATCTCACACAAGTGGAATCATACAGTATTTGTCTTCTTGTAACTGGTTTATTTCATTTAGCATGATGTTTTGGGGGTTCATCTGTGTTGTAGCGTGTGTCAGAATTTCCTTTTTTAAGGCCAAATGATATTGAACATTCCATTGTATGCATACCCCACACTTTGCTTACCCATTTATCTGTCACATACACTTGGGTTGCTCCCATCTTTCAGCTGTTGTGAAGAAGCTGCTGTGGACATGTGTGTTTAAATATCTGTTTGAGACCCTGCTTTCAATTCTTTTGGATATACACCCAGATGTGGAATTGCTGGATCATATGGTAATTCACTTATTAATTTTTTGAGAAACTCTTTAACATTCTAACACAGAAAAATTATCAAGTCTCTTTTCTACATTTAAATTTTTTCCAAATATATAACCTTCCCTCATGTTTCCAGAGTAGTAGCTGCTGAAACAGGTGACAGCCTGTGTGTCAGGAAATGAAGGGAAATGAAATGTCCTAAACTGAGCTCAGCATTTCCCATCCAGACTACTCTAACAATGATGTTGTTATTAATAAAAATAATCACAAGGGCAATAATTACAGCTGATATTTCTAAAGTATCCACTATGTCCCTAGTATTGAGACCCTTTCTTGTTTCATGCACAAAGCATCTTATTTATTTGAAGGACACAAATGTTCTTTGAATGTCGCTCAACTTCTTTTCCCTCTCTCATCATGGACTGTGTCCTTCCTTCCTCATAAACCATGGACTGAGCTGTGATCCTGTAAAGGGACCTGCACGATCGCCTTAGCTAGATGAACAGTTCGCGCCCGCTCCACCCCATGTGAGGGCCGAGGAGAAGCGGCTCACTGGTCTCCTTTGCTTGCTCAAGTCTCCATGCCCTCCATCCTCCCTTCACTCCTGTTAAGAATGTGTCCCCCTGCCCCCAAAAATAATTTCAAAAAGAAAAAAAACAATATGTGTAAAGCATACATCCTGAAATGAGTAGTTCAGTTTTGATGAGAGCAGGAAATGACATATTTTCATCAATTGTGTTTTTGTGCTGGTATTTATGCACCTTAAACTTCTCTCCTAAGAGTTTCTAAACTCGGCCATGATGTGGAGTGCTGGTTTTATGAGGGGGCAATTGCTGAAAGTACATCACCTCATGTGCAATTGTTACAGGGACCAGGTGATGGAGGAATTTGAAAGTCAGAGTGAGGACTTGGGTTTATCGCATGGCATGCTGCTGAAGTGATCCACAGGGGTGTGCTGGATCTGCACTGGCACTTTTGGGATGATTTCTCCTCAAAGATGACAGGTTTGAATGCAACTCAAGAGTGCTTGGAGAGTGGAGGGTAATTACAAAACCATTTCCATATAGACATAAACTAGAAGGTGGCTGCCAAGGAAAAATTAGCTAAAAGCAATTATTACTTGGTTACTTATTATAAAGTGACCCTGAGTTTCCAGACGTGGTCCACATATCTAGCTATATGGTTCCTAGCAGCCAAACAGAGGAAAGAAACGTGTGATTACAAGAGAAAACAAATCAGTAGTTAAGAGAAAGCACTAAGTATTCTTGTTTAAAGGGACAGATACGGGTGTGACATTTCTACAATAGACACAATAGAGGCTCATTCAACCTTTTCTTACAATATTCTTCCTTAGAAGCTCTGACAAATGACAAATCACCACCCAGCAAAAACAATTCCCTTGAAATGGCTGAGTCCCATAAAGTGGTTTGATCTAACTGTAAAATATAGAATATTTAAAGGACTGACTTAATGATGTTATTTCTCACATTGCAGCAGTAGAGAATGTGGGATATTTCCAGCAATCCCTGAGACTTACAATCAATGAGCAGACTCAATTTCTAGTTAACTACAGAGTTAAGATTCTCTGAGAAAATGAAGACCTCTAACCAGGTTTTGTGTTGTATGAAGAAACAGCTAGAATTTAGTTCGAGATTTTTAAAACAACATCTGGGAATGACAATTCCTTAAAAAAATAAAACAGCATATGTTTTCATTTTTAATTATAGCATTAGAAAAATATGTGACACATACGAATCACCCAAAAATTACGTGGTGAAGGAAGGAATGAGTAGAGAAACCTGAAGGGAAGAATTGTTTAAATATTACTAGAGCCATGACCACTATTGCTCAGTTGGTTGGGCATTGTCTCACAAAGCAAAAAGTCACAGGTTCTATTCCCAGTCAGGGCACATGCCTGGGTTACAGGCCAGTTCTCAGTTGGGGGTGTGTGAGGCAACCAATCAATGTTTCTCTCTCACATCAACATTTCTCTCCCACTCTTTCTCCCTTCCTTCCCCGCTCTAAAAATTAAAAAAATTAAATCTTTAAACATGAGTAGAATTGAAAGAATAGCTAAAAGATTGTGTCAAACAAGTGATGTCTGATCCATTGTAATTCATGTCTCTATTTTCCAGTGGACTCATCAATAACATGGAATCAGAAAACCAAACAGGTGTAGCAGAATTCCTCCTCCTGGGTCTCTCGGAGGACCCAGAACTGCAGCCCCTTCTCTTTGGACTGTTCCTGACCACGTACCTGATCACTGTGCTTGGGAACCTGCTCATCATCTTGGCCGTCAGCTCTGACTCCCACCTCCACACCCCCATGTACTTCTTCCTCTCCAACCTGTCCTTTGTCGACATCTGCTTCAGTACCACTATAGTCCCCAATATGCTGGTGAATATCCGGACAGAAACCAAAGCCATCACCTACGCTGGCTGCCTCAGTCAGGTATATTTTTTCATGGTTTTTATATGTACAGACAATTTACTCCTGACTGTGATGGCATATGACCGCTATGTGGCCATCTGCCACCCTTTGTACTACACCGTCATCATGAACCCACGCTTCTGTGGCCTGCTGGTTCTCCTCCCCTTGTTCATTAGCATTATGATCGCCTTGCTCCACTGCCTGATGGTGTTGCATCTGTCCTTCTGCACAGACTTGAAAATCCCCCACTTCTTCTGTGAACTTGCTCAGATCCTCAAACTTGCCTGTTCTGATACCCTTGTCAATGACATCCTGGTATATTTAATGACCAGCCTTTTGGGTGGGGGTCCCCTCTTGGGGATAATTTTCTCTTACACTCGAATTGTCTCCTCCATCTTGAGAATCCCATCAGCTGGTGGCAAGTACAGAGCTTTTTCCACCTGTGGGTCTCACCTGTTGGTGGTTTTCTTGTTCTATGGAACTAGTATGGGAGTCTACCTTAGTTCTACAGCCTCTTTCTCCTCCAGGACTAGGGCAGTGGCCTCAGTGGTGTACACAGTGGTCACTCCCATGATGAACCCCTTCATCTACAGCCTGAGGAACAGAGACATGAAAGGAGCTTTGAGGAAACTTATCTCTAGAACATGTTTCTTTTCATGACTTTGCCATTTGCCTTGGGTGTGAACTTCCAGAATGAGTCAAAGGGAATGAAATATTGCATATGCCAGAAATCAGAACTCTTCATAACTCAATCCTCCTAGAAAATTAGTTAATCATGGGCTTTCTAGTCAAACAGCTTTGTACTAAATCCTGCTGTCCTGTGTTTTACTACTTGTCATTTATCAACTAACTTAACTCTGAATTCAGCTCACCATCTGCAAAATGGGCAAATAATATTAATTACACACTTAACAGTGATATTGGGAATATATCTTATGTTGGGATATATGAAATAATTTAATATATGTCTATTAAGCACTAGTAAATTTTAATAAATAATAATAAGGTGTTGAAAAGTCTATTATATTTCAGTAAATCTTGGGGAAAATAATAACTATCAAGTGTACATTCCATGTGTTAGTGAACTTGTAGTGGATACTCATTTGCCTGCACATTAATATGCTGATTAAGTCGATTCTTATCTTACCCTCCCCTTTGAGTCGTCTTCATCTTTTTCTTTATTTTTGTCCTCTTTTCTGCTGAAATCTATACAGAGAAATATATTTGAATAAAGTCAACTGGGATTTTTATTAGAAATATCAATTGGTTGCCTTCTGTATGCACCCCAACTGGGGACCACACTTACAACCCAGGCATTTGCCCTGATCACACGAATCAAACTTGAAACAGCCACATTTTGCTTTGTGGGACAACACCCAACCAACTGAACCACACCGGCCAGGGCACAGAAGTACATTTTTAATGTCCAGATATATGGAGGATTTCTTTATGCTTTTGCTATTGATTTCTAATTGCTATTGTATTGCATTGTGTATATCTTGTATAAGTTTAATTTTTTGAAATTTATTGAAACTTGCCTTTTGTAGCCCTTGTGGTCAAACTTAATTAATATATAGTGTTTGCTGAAAGAAAAATGGGTATTTTGATGAATGTGTAATTCTGTAAATTGAGTGCATTTTCTACATATGTTCAATAGGTCAAGTTATTGAATCATGTTTAAATCTTATTTATTTTGACTGATTTTTTTTTTGGTCTCCTTGTTGTATCAGTCATGGAGTGAATAATATTAGAATCACCCAGAGTGGTACTGAATTTGCCTATTTCTGCTTGTAGTTCCATCTGGACCATTAAGTACAGATATTCAGGATTGTTTTGTCTCCTGGTGCCTTGAATCTTTCATGTTTATGAAGTCGTCTTTGTTACCTCTGGCTGTGCTTCTGCATTAGAATGTGCCTTGTCTGGTAGTAATGTGCTGCAGGTGCATGAGCTTCTTCTGGGCCCTCCAGCGACCGGAAACCAGCTGCAGTCTGTATGGTCATGGGGTTGCCCCCAGTTAGTTTTCCTGTTCCTAACAGACATCCCTCTGGGATGCCAGCCCACAGCAAGGAGCCCCTGCTTTGCCACCTTCACTCTTGAGCCTGTAGATACCTAAAGCTCATATTAGTCACTCAGCTGCCTCTTCTAGACAACCTCAAGGGTAAAGCCAGCTGAGGGCCTGGCTCACCTCTCTGGAGCCCTGCCCTCTCTAAGTCTCCACGCAGTGATTTATTTCAACAAGAACACATGTGTGTGTCTGAAGGGTGATGCACCCCAAACACAACAGGACATAAGCTCCTGTGCTCAGGACCCTTATGGACCCTCCCCTTAATATCTTTTGTAAACAACCTGTTTTCCTGAGTTTGGTGAGCTGCTCTAGAAAATTTATTAAACCAAGGAGGGGGTCATGGTAGCCTCCAATTTATAGCTGTCAGAAGCACAGGTGACGACCTGGACTTGCCATTGGCATTTGAAGTTGCAGCAGAGAGTGGAGGAAGTGCAGTCTTGTGGGACTAAGCCCAGAACCTGTCAGATCCGATGCTGTCTCTGGGCAAGTAGTGTCAGGCTAAGTTAACTTGGACACCCAACTGCTATCCAGAGAATCTGATAATCATTCAGTGTGGGGGAAATTTGTGGCCAGAGTGTCAGCAGTGAAGTATTAAGCATAGTCTGAAACTAAAGGAGACAGTGGGGAGACAGAGTTTCTCTTTAGTTCCACATAGCCTAAAACGTTTACTCTATGGCCCATTATGAAAAAAGTTTGGTTCCTGCCCTTCCATGGTTCTCAACTAACATTTGAGGCTCTTCCTTCCCTAAATTTTTACAACTAAAATTTGACAAACTTTGTGTAAAAATCCTGCAAGGTGAGCTGCCATGTTTCAAATAATAAGTAACAAGCATAAGAGTAATGATCAATAACTCCAAGGGGAAAATAAAAGTGCATGTAAAAATCCTTTGAGCCTTCTTCTTTTATGCACAATAGAAGGAATTTCAGTTTTTAGACATTTTTGCCTAGCTTCCAAAACCCTGGTTCTTTCACAAAGGGGCGATGGGCAGAGAATTTAGGGTCCCCTGCCTTGCCCCTGCTTTGGAGCTGGTTAACTTTTGATGGTGGTCAGCTGTCCTGTGCATGTGATGTTTAGCTGCATCTCTGGATTCCACCATTAGATGCCAGAAGTACCCCACCAAAACCCAATTGTGACCCCCACCAAATTATCTCCAGCATTGCCAAATGTTCCCCAGTGAGAACCACTGCTCAAAAAATAAAATAAAATAAAAAGTTTTTAATTAATTGATTTGAGAGAGACAGACTTGGAATTGTTGTTCCACTTACTATGCACTCATTGGTTGACTCTTTTTTTTTTCTTTCCGCCCCACCCTGCCCCCTCATTGGTTGATTCTTGCAGTACCGTGACTGGGGATCTAAGCAGCAACCCTGATGCTCCAACTGACTGAGCTACCCTGCCAGGGCTAAAATAAAATGTTTTAATTTGCCTTACCCATCTTTAACTGAAGATGTGTGAGCATTTATGTCTGTGGTTCAAATAAAGCAGAGTAACCATATTGAACTTCCCCCATGCTGCTGAAAAACCATGTCCAGAAATGACTGACTACTACAAAGAACCTCCCTGCCCCATTTGACATGGGTAAGACTCACTGATGAACAGCTTGTTTACCCAAAACAAGGCCAGACACACCCCCTCCAAATTCCTATTCCTTTGTCTTATAAATGAATAGGCGAACTGTTTGTCCCCTTCCCTGAAAAACCAGCAACACACAGAGATAAATATTTCTTGTTCAGCTAACAGACCTCCCTAGTTACAGTGGCAATTCCAAATGTACAACCCCCCACCTATCACTTGCCTATTTCTCCCTATAAAAGTCTGAAGCAAAACCATCCAGCAGAGACATTCTGATCTCCAGATCTGGATTGTTTTCCCTGCTGCAATAACCTGAATAAAGTCAATCTCCTTACTTGCTTGATTTATGTTTGTCTTTGACAAACAACAACAACAATAATAGATACACACACAAAAATGAAATGGAAGAGTGAACTCAATTGAAAACAAAAGCACAAACTTAAAGTTATCAAATTAACAACTTTGAGGATGTAATATATAAAGCATTGTGATTATAGCCAGTAATACTGTATCTTATATTTGAATGTTGCTAGGAGAGTAGATCTCAAATATTCTCACCATGAAACAATAAATGATAACTTCCTGATGACATGGAGGGATGGGGGTGGCAGCCAACACCCTGGTGGCTCCATTTTAAAATGGCTCCCCTTATATTACCCTTTCATAGGCATGCGTCCTTTTCATGATTAGAGCATAGGTGTGTTCACTTTAAATTTGTATTTGTTGACTTTCTGTATGTTTGTTAAAATTAAACAAATACATTTTATTTTTACATAAGTTGAAGTCAATATTATTTTATGTTAGTATCAGATGAACAGCGGTTAGGCATTTACCTAATTTACTAAACGATCCCCCCAATAATTCCAGTACCCACCTGGCATCATACACAGTTATTACAATATCATTGACTATATTCCCTATTCTATACTTTAGATCCCCGTGGCTGTTCTGAAACTACCAATTTGAACTTCTTAATCCTTCACCGTTTTCACCCAGCTTCCCTACCCACTCCCCTTTGGCAACCATCAGTTTGGTCTATATCCATGAGTCTATTTCTGTTTTGTCTGTTTACTCACTTTGTTCTTTAGATTCCACCTGTAAGTAAAGTTGTATAGTATTTGTCTCTCTCTGTCTGACATTTCGCTTAGCATAGTACACTCTAGGTCTAATCATGTTGGCACAAATGGTAAGGTTTTATTCTTTTTGATGGCTGTTGTATATAGTAAATACCAATCATCTATTAATGGGCACTTAGGTTGCTCCCATTCTGGGCTTTTGTAAATAATGTTGCAGTGAACACTGGGGTGTATATATCTTTTTGAATTAGTGTCTTGAATTTCTGTGGATAAATACTCAGAATTGGAATTACTGAGTCATTAAGGTAGTTTTATTTTTAATTTATTGAGAAACATTTATATTGTTTTTCACAGTGGCTGCATCAATTTGTAATCTCACCAACAGCACACAAAGAATCCCCTTTCTCCACATCCTTGTGGATTTGTTGATGATAGCTATTCTGACAGGTGTGCAGTGAGATCTCATTGTGATTTTAATCTATATTTCTCTGATGACTAGTGGAGTTGAGCATCTTTCTATATCTATTGGCCATCTCTATGTCCTCTTTGGAGAAATGTGTATTCAGGTCCTCTGCCCATTTTTAATGGGATTTTTTTGCTCTTTTGGTGTTAAGTTGTATGAGTTCCTTATAAGTTTTGGATATTAACCCCTTATCATATGTAGCATTGATGAATATATTCTCCAGGATATTTACCAGTATGTAACTGACCAATATTTTATCTTTCTATAATAATTATGTATTTACTTTTAAAAGGATGTGCATGAGGTTTTTCCAATATCCCCTTCTAGGGTATTGTTTACCTGAGTAATATTTTTTACTGTTTGGGGAGTATTGCAGAATTATCCTACTCTGAATTCAATGGTTAAGTAGGTATTTTTCTCCTTTTTCATTCCATCAATTAATCCTCCTTGTGAGTTCACTGGGATTTCTTTTTGATGGCCATTGTATATAGTAAATACAGAGCTTGCAGAGAAGACAAGCTCTGATGCTGACCCCATATCGTCTACTGATTTTAACTACCCAATTTCTCCAATCCTGTCTGAATCCCAGAGAATCATTTTCCTTTCTTTGTCCTCTGTCCTGGCTCTAAATCTTGAAGATCCAATCCCTCACTTCTTCTGGAGTTTTCCCTGCCTTTCCCTGAGCCACCTCCTGTCCCAAGTCTTTCCACTTTTCCTCACATCTTTACTCACTTCTCTAGGTGGGCTTGTTGTGTTTAAAAACATTAAAAATTATTTTTTATTTATTGATTTTGGTGGAGAGAGAGAGAGATGGAAACATCCACTTGTTCCATTTATTTATGTGTTCATTGGTTGTTTCTGGAGCATGCCCTGACCAGCCAGACGTCCAACCCACAACCTTGGTGTATCAGATGATGCTCTAACCAACTGAGCTACCCAGCCAGGACTCTGCCAACCCCTTGTTTCTGAAAAGCAATAATCTAAGATACTTGTGTTATGCATTTCAGTCTTGCAACAATTTTAGGATGGCTCTTTTATACAGGTGAAACAGGCCGTGGACAATTTACTTGAGGTGGCTGCCTTGGTGGAGTTAGGATTAGAACTTTAGCTAAGAGGACGACTAATCTTGGTGCTTCCTGAGTTCTCACCCGACCCAGATAAACGCCCTCATCTGGAAGATTTGCCTCTTAAATGTCTGACTTGGGTGTTATAAAAGAGAACCACGAAATGCTAATGGAGACTTTTCCAAGTCTCACCATGGCCACTCTTGAGTTGATGCAGAGGTATGAAAAACAATTCTGGCAAAGTGATCAGGTTCTGGGTTGCCCGTCAAGTAGAACTAAATAATCCGTGATGGATCAATGGGATAAACAAAAAGGTCCAGGGTGTTGCCAAGGTTTACAGGTGGAAAGGTAGGATTCCGATTATTTGGGTTTGAGAAGGTGGAGTCCGGGGATTGAACTGTTATGTGTTAAAGTGTCTGTAAAATATCCAAGTGGTGAATGTCTCATTTGGTCTGGAATTCAGGATAGAGGTGTGGGGCTGTGAGTGGACATTTTGGGTCTTGAATGCAGAAACAGTTCTTAACTGAGAATCGCTGCAACGACAGAGAATGATTATAAGAAGCCTAAGAACTGAGTCCGGAGACTTTCAAACATTTAAGTTGAGGGCATGTGATTAACCATCAGAATACACCTGGGCACCCCTGCCATGCCCTCCTAAGCTCGAGGACTCCATTTTCCAGAATCCTTTCTGCTCAGTGCTTCCGGTTTATAGCGGCCAATGAAGTCCCGCGAGATTTAGAAGGCGGAAGCGGAGCGGAAGCCATTATTCTCCGGAGGCGATCGCTGCTCCTTACTGGGGCCTTAGAGAACTCTATGGTTTTCTCCCAGCTGTTGGTGACACTTCGAGTCCCCGTAGCCGATCGGACCTTCGGTTTGAACTTCTCGACCCTTTGGCGGGGACTTCCAAGACTTCCGCTACCCCTGCTCAGTTGGGTATGCCCCCTTTCCTCATTTAACCCTTTACGACTGGTCTTCCTGAGGGCACGGGAGGCCCACTAGTCACGGAGGAGTGAGGGGAGCCGGGACCTGGGACTGGGAAGCCAGGCAGTCCGGCGAGGAGTGTGTTTTAGGTCCTATGATTAGCGTTATAAAACGCTGGTGACGCGAGGACTGACATTTAGGACCATATTTAGCGGCCGGGGCAGGTACCGCTAATGATCTGGTTAAAAACAAAACAAAAAACTGACACCTTGGGGTGGAGAAGGAAAAGCCCGGCGGAATGAGCTCAGGGCATTATAGTGGCTCAGGAATTGGAGAGCGCGAGGATAAATTACCTTTCTTTTGCTCTTGTGGTCAGTTCCCTTTTGCGGTTAGTTTTGTTTAATATTAGAAAACTAGGCACACTGGTTTTCTTTCTGGCAGCGTTTGTCTCGAATGCTTTTTATATTTAATTTTTTGGTGCGCTTGTATATTTTTATGTTATTATGTTATTAAGTTTGACTCTTATGTACTACTGTAAATAGCCTGTAACTAGATGCAGAAATTCACTTCAACATTGCTATTTAACTTGAGAGTTGGTCCATTAATAGTTATTGTGATTACTAACGTTTTGCATAGATTTTTACCATCTTACTTGGTTCTTTTTATTTATCCTTCTCCTATAGGATATATGTGAAAAAAAGTATGAAAACACAAAAACACAATTCAAAGGACAACATAAAGCAAATCCACAAATCAGGCCAAGAAAGATTATGAAACCTCAGAAACCTTTGTGCACCTACATTGCATCCTCCTCTTCTCCTAAGATTTTCTATATGGATTTTGCTGTTTATATGTTTTCTCAAAAATGTATTTCCTTATTTTAGTAATTATTTGTGAATGGACTCACACTCTTTAAGTATTTTCTGACACATCCGATTTTCCATATTGGTGCAACTACTCATCCTAGTTTAGAGATTTCTAAATATCTTGTGGGTGAAGTTCATACACCCACCTATTCATTCTTGGAGACTCATGGCTTAAATTTTAGAATTAGTTTACAAAGTTCCACCTACTGAGGTTTTATTTTCAGGTTGTGTTGAATATTAATTTTGAGAATATATTGACATTATTATGCCATTGAATCTTATAATTAATCAAAGTTTATCTAGTTACATCTTCTGTAATGTCTTTTAATAAATTTTATGAATACCAATGAAAAGAATTTAAGGGTTTTTGGGCTTTTTTGTTAGTTTTTGCCAGGGAACTTTGTGTGCTTGTGCATGCTTTGAAATTATGGGGTTTTTTGCCCAACAGCTTTGTATATTGAATTTGAATTTCACAAAGTTTGCTAAAATAATGTAATTCTCTTAATTTTTATTAAGTGTCCTAGATGGTTTTCATAGACAATTTTATCTGTATAGAATGAATAAGTAAATATTTATAAATATTATTTGTTTAGTGCACTTAAAGAATTTTTTTTTACTGGATTAGCTGGGGACTTCTGTTAGCACTGAATGGAATTTGGGTAGGAGACAGTCCTGTTTTTTACATTAAGGGAATGACCTTTAGTGCTTGCTGGAGGCTTTTAAAGATAGTATTGATTAGAGAAAAAAACACCCCTCTTTTCCTAGTTTAAGAGCTTTTCTCTTTTCTCATGAACAGCTGTAGCTTTTTACAAGTTATTTTTTTTCTACTATCTACTTTCAAATCCTTGTTAATATATTTCCAGCACCTTAAAGGATGCCTGGACTCTTGGCCTGTGAAAGGTACTAGTACTGTTTGTTCATAGAATCAGTGAGTGAATAATATGCTTTTCTTAACTTGTCTGATAGTGTGATGAATCATACCAATGAAGTTTTCTAATATTACATTAAATATGCATTGGAAAATAACTTACTTAGAAAGGACACTTACTATTGTACTATTTTTGGCCTCCGTTTGCTAATTTTTCTTTGGTGATTTGGATCTATGTTTGAGTGAAATTGGCTTTTAATTTTCTTTTTCTTTTCAGATTTATGCCAGCCTTACACAATGAGTTGGTGCTGTTCCCTCTTTTTTTCTAAACACTGGAATATTTTGCCTAAGAATAGAGTAACTAGTTCCAGAAAGGGAGCTGTATCAGGAAAAGCATTTAGATCTGGAGGTTTTTTTGTAGGATTTTATTTTTTTAAATTTTAGTTATTTGATTTTACTTTAGAGAGAAGGGAAGGGAGGGAGAAAGATAGGGAAAGAAACATCTATGTGAGAAAGAAACACCCATTGGTTGCCTTCCCTGGGACCAGGGACCACACCCACAACCCACGCTAGTGTGCAGACTTGGTCAGCACTTGTTATCTCCTGTCTTTTTGCTAATAGCCATTCTGATAGGTGTAAGGTGGTATCTCATGATTTTGACTAGCATTTCTCCGATGATTAGTGATGTTAAGCATCTTTTCGTGTGACTGCTGGTGATTTGTATGTCTTTGGAAAAATGTCTGGGGCCTTTGCCCATTTTTTAATTGGATTTTTTTTTACTATTGAGTTGTATGAGGGTTGTGGGTTTTTTTTTAACATATATATTATTTGGTTATTAACCTCTTGTCAGATGATTTGCAAATATTTTCTCCCATTTAGTAGGTTGCCTTTTCATTTTGCTGATTATCTACTTTGCTGAACAGAGCATTTTAGTTTGATATAGTCCCACTTGTTTATTTTTGCTTTTGTTTGCTTTTGGTGTCAAATCTAAAAATGTCTTTGCCAAGACCTTTGTTAAGGATCCTACTGCCTGTTTTTTACTGGGACTTTTATGGTTTCAGTTTTTACTTTCAAGTGTTTAGTTCATTTTGAGTTAATTTTTGTATCTAGTGGTTTGTGGTTTTATTCTTTTCCATGTGGCTGCCTAGTTTTCCCAGCACCATTTATTGAAGAGACCATCCTTTCCCTGTTGTTTAATCTTGGCTACTTTGTCATAAATTAATTGACTTTGTATGTGTGAATTTATTTTGGAGCCCTGAATTCTGTTTCATCAGTGTGTCTGTTTTTATGCCAATCTGTTCATTTTCTTAATGATGTTATTTGATGATTAAAATTTTTTCATTTTTGTAAAGTTTAACTTACTGATTTTTTTGGTCTGGTTTTGTTTGTGTCTAGTTTAAAATATTGTTGTGTAATTCACAGTCATTAAAATAGTCACTGGACTTTATTTTCTGGTGTTCGATTAATCTCAAACAAATTTTTAAATTCAGATTTTTTGTGTGTGTGTGTGGTGATAAGAGAAGTCAAAGCTTCTTTTTTCCTATTGAGTCTTCTAGCATTGTTTATTAAAATGGCTGCTGTCCCTTTTTAAGTGAACAGTACTGTGATAACTATGTATGGTGCCAGATGGGTACTAGACTTATCATGCAGATCATAAGTTATATGTGTCTGATCACAATATTGTACCCCTGAAACTAATATAATAATATCAGCTATAATTTTAAAATAAATTTGTAAAAAAGACTGCTTTCCCTATTGAATTGCTTTGTTTCCTTATTGAACATTATGTAACTCTGCATTTATAGGTCTATTTCTTACTCTATTCTGTCCCATCGATCTATCCATTTATGCTTATTCCAGTAACTTCATTACTGTGGTGAAGTTTGTAGTATGAATCATCCAGGTATGTTTTTCTTACTTAACATTGTCTGGCTCTTTTAGATCTTTTGCATTTTGATACACATTTTAGATTTGATTTATCAATTTTTGAAAAAAGCCCTGCTGGGATTTTGCTACGGACTATATTGTATCTGCAGATGAAGTTGGGCAACACGAACACTTTAATAATGACTCTTAGAGTCCACGAAAATTATATTCCTTCCCAGTTATTTAGGTCTTTAAGTTCTTTCAGCAGTGCTTAAGTTTTTATTGTCAAGGTCTTACACAGGTTTTGATTTATTCCTAGATATTTTATGCTATCATATGTGGAATTTTTTTTTCTGGTTGTGATTCCTTTGAAAGGAATAAGATTATTTGCCAAAAGTAAGGGTAATGGTAAGACAGTTTTTTATTCAGGAAAAAAATGTTGAGATTTTTACCTGGCTACTGGGAGATTGGAAGATTGAGTTGCCTAGTATGTGTTTCTTTAGTGTAGATACTCCTCTCAGGGTAACACCTCTGAGTTTCAAAGGTTACTGGTTGTGTGGGGGATGGTCTTTGCTGATTTGGGGTTATATTAGGCGGAGGGTTAAAGGAATTTGGACAAATAAATTGTAGAAATGATGAATTGTGATGAATCTCAGCTTGAGAGGTGTGGCAGTGAGAAGAGGAATTTGCCGTTGGGGGGGCAAAATGGTAGAAGCATGAGTTGCCTGGCATCCTCTCTAAAGTGAAAGAGTTCATGCAAGAAGAATGTTGTGTGGAAGTTTGTCCACAGAACAGATTTCTAAATCATTGTCTGCTAGGTAAAGTTGATAACTAGAGATGACAAGGCCTGTGTGTTGGCCCACAGTTGTGTATGTTGGTGTGGACTATGAGGCCAAACAGCATTGGAGATTGAAACGTGTGGTGCTAGATGGCCTGTATTCGTGGATACCGGAAGCACCCAAAACCATAGCAAACATTGAAGTTGAAGAACAGATGTCTATGGCCCAAGTGTATAATGAGTGAGAGAGTTTAACAGAGTTGTACTTGATGACAAATTACTTGGAATGAATCTGAATCTTATTTGAAGCAGGTCAAGGTTCTCAACCACATTGCCTGGAGGTTTTGCCTAAGTAAGGTAGAGTCGGGATCAAACAGGACTTGCAGCTTAAAAGAGGAAAATTCTGATTTTTGCGGCTGGAAAGCAAAAATCAGAATTGTCCTGTGATCAGGAGATAAAGAGCCTTGACTTCTAGTAATCTATTTCTCATTTACCCCAGAGGCCTGCTCCAAGAGTCCCATACCAGCAAGAGAGTAGCTTGTTGATGCCAGTGCCCTGTTGTTTAGGCAAATTCATTGTCATTCTCACAGGATGGCAGCTGTTGATCTCTCTCCCGCATGTGGTAAGTTCTTGGGGTAGAGAGTGCCCTCAGAAATCAAGTTTAACTGACTGCTGCCACTTCACAAGGACAGAGGGAGGGGTGCCATGGGAGGATGGATGAACTGGAAAGCAGTGGGAGCGAATGTCTGGGAGGCCTCCCAGGGGCCTGATTCAGGGTCTTTGTGAGTTTGGGTGAGGGAGGGAGTGTGTGTAGTGGTGGGAAAGGAAGGATACAATTGTAACTCTACACTATCTCATTTGTTATTTTGATAAATCGGAACAAAATAAAAGCTCTACCTCTTAGAGCTTTAATTTCTTCACTTATAAATTCAGACCGTGTATCACTTTTTTATGGTATGTTGGTCCACCTTTCTTTTTCTTGTCCTTGAGCAGAGCAGGACTGCTGTGGATTGTTACCAAATGTGTGTGTTTGTGTTCATTGGGGACATGTATGCACATGTACAGTTTTATGGTTTGTGAGTGTCAGACAAGCTTTCATTCTCATGGATCCTGTCTTCTATAGCTGTATCCACCCAGGACCTTGCCCATATCCAGGAGTCAGAAATTCCTCTTGCTTTGAAAGACTATTCTTGTCACCAAGATGTGGACCTGCTGGCTTATAATGGCCTGGAGCTTCATATGCCAACTAATGTTGGTTCCCAGGTACACCAAAATCTCAGGGGCCTTGAGGGTGGGAGAGGGACTTCCTAGAACACCCCCAATATCATGTAATAAAAATTTTTAGACCCTTATTTAGGCTAATTGAGGTCAATCAGGGATCAAGAGAAAGAGCCAAAGAATGTTGTGAGGCCATCCTGGTATCAGGGTTGTTAGGGAAAATGACTTATGTACCAAATGTTTCTCTTATGATATGATTGAAAGGGCTTGGGCGAGGCTAAAAGTGAAGAGAGATTTTGCTCTCATGTCAGAGTTGCATCTAAAATTGTGAGACAGGGTGAGATTACCTCACTGGGAAGAGAAGACAACTGCTGGCTGGTAAACACAGGTCGGTTTCTCACTGACCCCAAATATATGTGTGTTTCAGGACTCAGTGACTTTCCAGGATGTTGCAGTGGACTTTACTGAGAAGGAGTGGCCCTTGCTGGATTCTTCTCAGAGAAAACTATACAAAGATGTGATGCTGGAGAACTACAGCAACCTTGCCTCAGTCGGTAAGACTGGCATCATTTCTTCATTTATGAATAAAGTCTTTTTAAGTACTTGCTGTGACGTAGCAGCTAGGTGGGGATTTGGAACACAGTTGTGACCTGGTCCTCCTGGTATCTCCCCACGGATATTGAGAGAAGTCTGTTGCATTGGCTATGGAGATTATCGAGTGTGTCTGAGGTTGGGCATAGGTTTCCTTCTTTTTTCTTTTTTAATTGAATTTATTGGGGTGACACTGGTTAACAAAATTATACAGGTTTCTAGTACACATGGGCATAGGTTTTGGGACTAAGAAATCCTTAATTTCTGAGTTAACAACTCTTTTGAAGGGCAAAATATGTGGGTATTTGTGTTTTTGTTTTTTACAAAAGCCTTTCACTGTGTTCCGTAGAAATCTGTCACCATCATTTTGCTGCTCCTAAGTCAGTCTTGTCTATCTTCAGAACTCTTGACTTCAGAACCCATGTCCTCTGCACAATCCTCCCTCAACATGTGTCTTTCCCTGTGATTAGGGTGTCAGGTGGGGAAACCCAGCCTCATCTCCCACTTGGAGCAAGAGGAGGAGCTGAGAACAGAAGAGAGGGGTCTTCTCCAAGGCACATGTCCCGGTAAGCACCAGGCAAACACAAGTGCTTCTGAGTGTTGACTGTATCCAGTGACTGGGGTGGAGGGAGGGCCAGTAGCAAAGGTCACCCAGGGAATTTGAAAATACTCATTGTCTTTTGCTGCCCCTCCATTCTCTCATAGGTGATTTGGTTTCACTGTCCTCTCACCTTGGAATTTGACATGTCCATACAGACATTTTCTTCTGTCCTTTCAGTCAACATTCCTGATCATAATTCTTTCTGTTGTTATTAGTATCAGTCTTTGAAGAAATGTTTGGTGTGCTGACTTAAGTGTCTACCACTGTCATTGCCAGGTATCTCCCACAGCCAGATTTTTCAGTCTTTTCACTTGTGTGCATTCTTTCTGTTCACATCACTTTTCCTTCTTTAGGATTGTTACCAAAAAATTCACCCATTTTTGTCACCAGCATGCCACCATTTTTTTCCTTACCAGAAGCTTTGTCTTTTTCCAATATGTTTCAGGTTGGGAGATTCCATCTAAAAGCAGATGGTCCATTCTCATGCAAGATATCTTTTTTGGGAAGGAAACATCTAGTGGTTTGACAATGGTAAGATTCCCTTGGCGTGATGCTGAATCTTCCGTATCAGGATACGACTGGGGCAATGTAAGGTAGAAAAGGAGCTTAAGAAGTAGGCCAGTGGCATTCCCCAAGAGGAAACAGTGTCAGAGACACTGAATATTACCAGTTACTAACCCCAGATTTTTCCAGTTAGAGTTCTGATGAGTAAATGCTTCTGTAACTGGTTCTCATTGAGTGCTGGGGCTCAGTTCAGATTTAAACATAACTGTTTAAATCTGCATACACAATGTGTATGTAGAGAGCTTTGTAACAGTGGCACACATGGAACCATACGGTGTACACAGCATTCACCTGTTCTGGTTGATAGAGTCCAGGTGGGTCAGGAGCAGTACTTTGCACTGTGGGTTTTGACATCTCTAGACATAATGACGTGCTTTGATTTATGTCAGTTTATGTGGGGATAAGTTTTAGGAATGTAATGAATAGTGGATATGCCTTGTTTAGCACTTATCTTTCAATTAACAGGAAGGAACTCATCTTGGAGAGAAATCCACTGAATATGCCCTGTTTGAAGTCTTCAGCATGGGTGCTCATCTTACTCAGCAAATGGGAAGGCACACTGGCAAGAGGCCCTATCACCGCCGGAACTGTGGGGTAGTTTTCAAGAATAGACCCCACCTAACTCAACATGTGAGCATTTACAATGGGAGAAAAATGCATGAATGTCATCAGTGCCAAAAAGCCTTCACCACAAGTGCTTCCCTCACACGGCACAGGAGAATTCACACTGGGGAGAAACCCTATGAGTGCAATGCCTGTGGGAAAGCTTTCAATGACCCCTCAGCACTTAGGAGTCATGCAAGAACTCACCTCACAGAGAAGCCCTTTGACTGTAGTCAGTGTGGAAATGCATTCCGAACCCTCTCCTCCCTGAAGATACACATGCGAGTTCACACTGGGGAGAGACCTTACAAGTGTGATGAGTGTGGGAAGGCGTATGGCAGAAGCTGCCACCTCATTGCTCACAAAAGAACCCACACTGGAGAGAGACCCTATGAATGTCAAGACTGTGGGAAAGCTTTCCAGCACCCTTCACATCTCAAAGAGCATGTCAGGAATCACACTGGGGAGAAACCCTATGAATGCTCCCTGTGTGGAAAAGCCTTTCGATGGAAGTCTAATTTTAATTTGCACAAGAAGAACCACATGGTTGAGAAAACATATGAGTGTAAAGAATGTGGGAAATCCTTTGGTGATCTTTTATCACGGAGAAAACACATGAGAATTCATATTGTAAAGAAACCCATTGAATGTAGGCAGTGTGGGAAAACATTCAGAAACCAGTCCATCCTTAAGACACACATGAATTCTCACACTGGAGAGAAGCCATATGGGTGCGACCTATGTGGGAAAGCCTTCAGTGCGAGCTCAAACCTGACCGCACACAGGAAGATACACACCCAGGAGAGACGCTACGAGTGTGCTGCCTGTGGGAAAGTCTTTGGTGATTACTTATCCCGCAGGAGGCACATGAGCATTCATCTAGTAAAGAAGCGTGTCGAATGCAGGCAGTGTGGGAAAGCCTTCAGAAACCAGTCAACTCTTAAAACACACATGAGGAGCCACACGGGAGAAAAGCCGTACGAGTGTGATCACTGTGGGAAGGCCTTCAGCATAGGCTCAAACCTTAATGTGCACAGGAGAATACACACTGGGGAGAAGCCTTACGAGTGCCTGGCCTGTGGGAAAGCCTTCAGTGATCATTCATCTCTTCGGAGTCATGTGAAAACCCACCGGGGAGAGAAGCTCTTGGTGTCGTCAGTGTGGAAAAGGCTCCAATGACACACCTTTAAGAAACATGGGAGTTTAGACTGGAAGGAAATCTTGCGAGTGTAAGGAAGGCAGGAAAGCCTTACTGAACTCATCTTACTGGATAAAGGAATACATGAAACCTCGCAGAAATAGTTTGTGTAATGACTGGAAAGACCTGAGTTTTTTTCTCATCACTTTGGAGATCTGTGAGAATTCCTGCTGAGGGAGAAAGGGTGTATCTGTGGTGTGGAGAAGCCATCAGTGTACATCGAATGCTTAACAAACATGACAAGGAGCGAAACTCTAGCCAGGTGTTTAAAGTTAAAATGACTACAGTACCACCTGGCACCTTCTGACACATGAGTAAGCACACGAGGGAGAATCTGTAAAGTCATCAAATTGGCAAACAATTCCTGATCTCATTGTATTCCTCATGAGAGAAGTAACACAAAAGAGAAACATCTATAAAATAATAAACATGGGAAAGTCAGTAACGGGTCAGCAAGCTACAGCCAGCTGTCTATGTATGTACAGTTCTCAAGAATAGGTTACATTTGTAAGGAAAAATATGAGACAAAGATTATATGTGGCCCACAGAGTCTAAAATACTTGCTGTGTAGCCCGTTACAGAAGTGCCAGCACCCATGGCACAGCAGTGGTTCTCAACAGGGGCTAGTTTTGCTCCCCGGGAGGCATTTTGCAGTTTCTGGAGACAATTTTGGGTTTTAAAATTGGGGAAAGTGTTACTGATGAGGTTGGAAGACATCAAGGATGCTGCTAAACGTCCTGCGGTGCAGAGGAAGGAGCCTCCCAGACTTATGTGTCCCAAATGTCGATATTGCTGAGGCTGAGAAACCTTGAGGCTGAGCCCCTCAATTTTTATGAAATTTGAGTATTTACAGTAGAATATTTAAAATTTCAAAAATACAATCCCTTTGTGGAGATGATTTCAGCCACAGCTTCCCACTTGAGCTTATGAGAATTCATTCATACCCCAATTGAATTTTTCTAGTGAACAGGAGATTGCATTTGTCTTTCATCATGAATACAGACTGTAGCTCATAAATTTTTAATGTTTGTTTTTTTAAAGATTATGCTCTAAATTTCCCTTATACCGTATCACAAAAGATTTGTATGTAGTAATTTTATAATTTCATTCTTAATAATGTGTTAATTTTCTTCTGGATGACTTACTTGACCAGTAGACTCTATAAAATCTTAAGTACTGTGTAATGTGGGTATTTTAGAAAAATGCCTTTTTGTTATAGTTTTCCAAATTGAATGCATTGTGATCAGAGTATGATGTATTTATCATGTGTGTCCTTTGGGATGTTCCAACCAATGTGGCATATACTTGTAGTTGCTTCCCCAGTATCTCAGCTTCTATATCAAGAAAACCCAATTTTTGTCAGATTAGTAAGGTGTACTGTTTTAAAAATCTCTTAAAACATTTTCTCACATCTAGTACTGTCCATGTTCCACAACCTGGCCACTAACAATTAAGCAGATGTTACTGTATGGACTCTAAAAATACTCTTGAAAAAGAGGCCTTTCCTACCTGAATTCTCCTCATGTTTGTTTTGTTTTCTTTTCTCCCTTCTTCCCACCTTGCAAGGATATCCAGTATCTAGTGTCAAGAGGTACATTTTGTGACCATAAGGATACAATGCAGATTAGGGAGGATCCTGTAGCAAATTCACAAATGAGTCTGGCCTTCTCTGTGGCTTCTTTGAGTGTCTCTAGCAATCCTGGATTTGTTATTTCCAGAGTTCCTATTACATAAAAAAATAAATAAATAAATAAAACTGGTAATTGGTTTAAGCTGCTTTGGATGTTTCATTTTTTTTTCTTTTTACTAGGTTGTTTTTTTTTTTTTTTAATTGGTGGAGGGAGGGTTCTGCTTCATCCAGCTGAATGCTGTCTAAACTTCACCTGGTCTTTAGTGAGGGTTTTTTTTTTTTTAGAGATATAAGAAGGGAGGAAGGAGAGGGAGAGAAACATTGATGTAAGAGGGAAACATCCATCTGTTGCCTCGCATGTGCCCCACCTGGGTTCCAAATCCACAACCCAGGAATGTGCCCTGACCAGGATTCAAACTGGTGACCTTTTGTTTGCAGAACAACTCCCAACCAAATGAGCCACACCGGTGCGTTTTTATAACGGCTACATGTGTGGATATTACCAGCTTATGTTTTTAATTCTTGGTTATGGATTTTTTAATTCTTAAAACCAAGTTATAAAGTTATGTTTCATTTCTTTGTTCTACTTAAAACATTAATTTTCCTGACTTCTTATATTAAACTTGCATTGAGTGGACATCTACTTTTCTTCATTTTCTTCTTAAGTTGAACAAAACTGTTCATAAATGTTTTAGAGAAATACACTAGCTTTCTATTCACCTTTTGCAAGTAAAAAGAGTGGATTATTCCACTACTGACATACTTAAAAAACAAAAGTGCTGAAAAAGCAGGTGCTGTCAGTTGTGTTTGCACATGGAGAATCAGGCTAGGAAGTCTGGTGACTTGTCTGAGGCCAGCATGTTAGCAAGTGGTAGTGCTTGTATCTAAACCCTGGCATCTGGGCCCATCTTTATGTTAGGGCTTGATCTGCACCCTAGGTCTGTAGAGTGAATTAGGATATTTGCCTTCCAGTTGCTTCCATTCTACATAGGGTTGAGGCACCTGAAAAATGAGTAAATATATTGTATGTCTGATGGTGGGCGGTGCAGTGGAAGAAAAATTAAGCATGGTGATGATGGAGAGAAATGTGGGCTTTAGGAGAGCTGTGGAGTGGTTGGGGGAGTCTGTTAAAGGAGACATTTGAGCAGAGATGTAAATGACCTGTAAGTGTGGGTTGTATTATAAAATGGAGAAGAGCACCCTCAGCAGTTCAAAGGCCATGAAAAAAATGTGCGTAGGATAAAGGGGCCAGTGTGACAAGTGGATCAAGCAAGAGCTGCAGAAAATGAGGTCAGAGCTAGATGGAGGGTCCTGATTCATGGGCACATCCTGTGGCTTAAGTGGGAGGACTGCCTTTCATCCTTAGTGTGGAGGGTTTTGAACAGAGGAGTGGCAACTATACAATTGATGATTTTAAAGGATCACAGTGGCTTGTGGTTGATAGGTTCTGTTAGGCCATTGCAGAAGTGAAGTTACATGTGGTCAGATAAGCAGTGATTTGACAGTCATAGTAATGACTACAGCTGTAGTTTCATTTTCATTTTAGATTATGTATTGTCCCCCAACTTACCTTTTTACCTGCTGATGTATAGTTAGTTACTGGACTGTTTTCATTTTCCCAGTTATGAGCAATGCTGCTTTACAAAATTTTGTACATGTCTCCCGGAGCACTGGTGAGTTATTCCAGAGTGTGGGGTTGCTAGGTCATGAGGTCTGTGCATGTTCTGTTTATTAGTAATGCCTAAGTCATTCCTACAGTGTTGATACTTGGTGTGTGTGTGGTAGTATTTAAAACATTGTAGGGAAATGCAGAAAAATGCTTAAATCACACATGTAAAGGAAAATTATGTGAATAAATGTCATCAGGCAGGAAAGAGTATTGTCAGCATTCCTGATACCCCTTCTTGCCTCATTCAAATGACAAGCCCTTCCTTACTGTCTGTAGATAAAAAAGCCAACATAGCTTGGATTTTTTCTTTCTTACCCCTATACAAATGGAACCATACAGTATATGTTCTTTTGTTTCTGCCTGTCTTTTTTTTTTTTTTCTTTATTAGAAAGAAAGGGAGAGAAACATCAATGTGTGGTTCCTTCTCATATATGTGCCCTGCACTGGGGACCTGGCTCACAGCCCAGGAATTTGCCCTGACTGGGAATTAAACCTGAGACATTTGGGTTCACAGTTTGACACTCAGTCCACCGAGCCACACCAGCCAGAGTTGTGTATGTGTGTGTGTGTGTGTGTGTGTGTGTGTGTGTGTGTGTTTGTCTTAATTTTCCCTAATATTTTTGTGAAATGGAGGCATATTGATTTGAATATCTCTGACTAGCACATTTCATTGTGTTATATTGTTTTGAACATTCCACAATTTGTTTAAGCAGTTTGTGATGATGGACAGGTATTAGACATTTCAACTTAGGTCTATTATGAATAATGTTACTATGAGCATATTTTAATATTTCTGATAGTGTACAAATGTATGTATTTCTTTTGGGTGTGTGCTCTTTACTGAAATTCATGGGTCACATGGGATGCATATGTTCATTTTTCCAAAGTGGTTATGCAAATTTGCTTTCCAAGAAGCCTTTTTATTTAGTTGGATAAGATACTGAAGTTGCCTGCCTTTTTCTTATTGATTTATGTATTTCAGATACCCCTTCCAGAGCCCTGTGATTAGATATGTTTTGCAAATACTTTTCTTCTACCCTGTAGCTTGTCTCTTCAGTGTTTTAATTGCTATTTTTTTTGATGACATGAGTTCTTAATTTTAATGTCATTTAATCTTTACAGACAGTGCCCTTCTGTTCCTGAGTAAAAATACTTGCCCACCTTGAAGGCAGGAAGATATTCTACATTTTCTTCTACAAGTTCTATTGTTTTAATATATACGTTTACATTTATAATCCACATAGAATTGATTTTTTTGTGTGTGTATTTTGTGAGGTAGGATTGAGGTTTTTTTTTTGTTTGTTTGTTTTTTTCAAATTATTCCAGATCATTTATTTAAAAAGTACATGTTTATCCTAGGGATTTGAGCTATCACCTTTGTCATATACTGAGCTTTATATGTCTTTGGCCTCATTCTGAACTTTATTCTTTTGTCATGAAGTTTAAATTGTAAGAGGCTTTATAATAATTTTTAATGTCTGTATGGACTGGTTTCCCCTCATGATTTTTCTTTTTAAATATTTCCCTAGGTGTTCTACTTTTTTATATTTGTACTTTCCTATTACCTTGTCCAACTCTTAAAATTAGCTTGTTAGTATTTTTATTGTCATTGCCATGAATTCATAAGTTCATGATGGAAGAACTACATCTCGATAATGTTAAGTTGTCTTATCCAAGAACGGGATGTCTTTCCATTTGTTTGTCTACTTTGGTTTTTGTCAGGAATATTCAAAAATTTTTGTTACACAATTTTTCTCATAACAAGTTTTTGTTGTTTTCCCGAAGTATTTAATCTATTATTGTAATGAAACTTTTCATTACCATTATGACTTTTTTCATAGTTTCTGTGTAAGAAAGCTACTAACTTTGTATCTTAATTTTATAACTTGTTATTTCACTGAATTCTTTTACTTTTTAAGTTTTATTACTGCTTTTCTGGGTTTTTCCAGGCATACTATTGTTATCATCTGGAAATTGAGATAGCTTTACTTGTTTACCGATTTTTAAGCCTGTAATTATTTTTGCTTGTCTAATTGCATTAGCTAGTACCTCTAGAACAATAATAAATAGTAGCAGTGATAAATAGTGGGCATTCTGGCCTTGTCCTAGGTTTAAGACCCCCTATTGTTCTTCTGTTAATTAAGACAATGTTTTTTAGAATGAAGGGAAATGTTTATTTTATCATATTGTGAAGGTATTTTATATTGAAAGTTTTTACCATGAATGGGGTTTGAATTTTGTCAGTTTTTCTGAGCATCTATGAAAATCATGATTCTTTTTCTTTTGATGTATTAATATAATATATGACTTAAGAGATTAGCCAAAGAACATATATGCATATATGCATAGCCATGAACAGAACAATGCGATGAAGGCTATGGTGGGGGTAGGGGCTGGATGGAGGGGGGCAAAAGGGGAATGAAATGTGGGGCATCTGTAATAGCATCAACAATAAAAAAAAGTCTTGCATTTTGAATGAATTTCACTTGGTCATGGTGTATTATTAATGCGATTTTAGAATCTGCTAGTATTTTGTCTAGAATTTTGCATGGTATGCATGAGTGATAATTGGTCTGTAGTTTTCTTTATGCTTTATTTATCTGACTTAGGTACTATTATACTTGCTTCATAAGAGGAATTAAGATTTCTTAATTACCTTTTCAGTGCTCTGGAATAATTTATACAGCATTAGTAGTCTGGTTTTGGAAGATTTGGTAGAACTTCTTGTGAAACTGGGTCAAGTGGTGTTCTAATGGGATATTTCTTTAGGAACTTTAATTTCTTTTATGGACGTTGTTATGTGTTAAGCTTTCTAACTTGAATGGCATTGGTGTTGGTAATCTGTTTTCCTGGGAAATTGTCCAGTTCATCTAGTATAAAGGTCAGCAAAATCATCTCATGATTTTAAAAATGGTTTTTGATTCACTGCTCAACACCTTTTTTTTTATATTTGCTTTTTCTTTTCCTAAATCAAATGAAATAGTGATTTGTTGTTTTGTTTTTTTAATGAAATTTTGAGTAGTTAGATCTGTTGTTTTCTGTTTTCCTCATTATTTTTTTCCAAACATAAACAAACCTCAAAACCAAACTTAAATTCCAGCCTAACAGTGCCGGGTGCAGTAGCTGTGGACAGACTAGGTACAGTGCTGTGAGACCACTCACAAGTGGCTCCAGGAAGTGGCGCCCCTTCCCCAGGGAATTTACCTTCAGGGGCCTAAGCCAAGGGGAAACAGGGAGTCCTGCAATGGAATGGGGGCAGGCAGAGGGAAAGGCACTACTTCTTGGCAAAGGAGATCTTCATGGGGTTGTTCTAGGTAATTTTGAAGCCCTGTGGCAAGTCCCCAGGAGCCCCTGCGTGCACCTCATTGTCAAACTCCATGAAAGCCATGTCATGCCATCCTGGGACCAGCCATACCTTGAAGCCAGGGAACTGATTGAAAAGCATGGACAGCATGAGCTTGTTGGTCTCCTGGCAGATTGGGGAGGAACAAGATGGGATTCAGTGGGTTTTCTGAAAGAGGCTGGTCGGCAGCATCTGGCCTGGCATAAGCTGCTGTGGGGACATGGACCCTGGTGGGTTCTGCTGGGGTTTGAGCCCTGGAGATAGGATCATGCCAAAGGGTGGCGTGTAGGGAGGCTGGCCCAACATGTGGTGCATGATGCAGGGAGACTGAGTCATTGGCAGCATGCCTGGCACAGGCCCTACTAGGAGGGCAACTGTCCCACCCTGCACAACCTTCTTAGCAGCCAGGGTCTCTTGGTTTTCCTCTTCTGTTTACCATCCTGCTTCACGAAGGTACCCTTCATCTTGGCAGTGATATCCAAGTTGGTCTTCGTATACTGGGTGTGCATGGGCTTGTCATAGAAGGAGAAACTCTGCATGGAGCACAGGGCTTTGGTGGCGCTGCTGACCTTGAAGGTGACAAAGGCCTGGCCCTCATCTTAGCTCTATGACACCAGGATATACAGGATCTGGCCAAACTGGGAGAAGATGGCATATAGGGACTTCTTCAGCTCATCCTTTTTGAGGTTGTTGATGTAAATAGCGTGATTGGTGTGGGTCTGGGGACCTGCCATGGAGGGAAGTACCCATG